CCAGGAATTGTTTATACATGGTACTGTAGACACCTGTTTCCAGAATGACTGTAACATTTGATTTAAGCTTTAATCTGTCTAAGTGTCACCTGAAATTCAATAGTTTCATTACTTTTGTAGTTTTGGAGATTTGGAAAATAAGCAAGATGACATGAAGAGTAAGAGTTTAAACTGGTGCCAAGTAATTGAGGAACATGTTGTTGGGAAACAGCGGTATTTGTTCTCTCCTCTGCTAACCCAAAATGGACACTATGCTGAAGCATAAAAATAGTTGTGTATGCATAGGAAAAAATAACACAGGAAATTTTAACGTGAAAAATCCTCTCAGAAAAAACCACGGGACCTAGTCCAAAAAATTATCTCCACTATGAAAGTAGGATTACAATGTTTCTTTCACTCTCTGAGGATCTCTCAATAAGTCTCACCCTCTTAGATGGTATACAAAAACACTCTCTTTTTTGTGAAGGAGAGAAGTCCCACATCTAGTAAAACATTGTAAGGGACTTCCTCCTTTGGTTATAAAAGAGAGGTTAAGGTTCCCCTTTCCTCATCCCATTCTCTTCTCTTCCTTCTATTTTTCTCTTGCTTTTAAGTAATTGAGAAATTCTTTGAGTATAGAAGAGATTATTGTAATTTCTCTTCTTAGTATAAAATTTCCACTTATTTGCCTAGTAGATATTTTCTGAGGAAACTCTACTCCGGATGAGTGAGTCCATTTCGGCGACGGACCATATCAACCACCTCAACACCTTGTTTGCCCAATTATCAGCAGTAGATTTCAACATAGTTGAAAATGAGCGTGTAGAGCTTCTACTTCAAAGCTTACCAGACTCGTCATGATAGATGGATAATGGATTCAAGAGCAACGTGGCACATGACTCCTCACCGGGACTGGTTTCACACTTATGAGCCTGTCTCAAGTGAATATGTATTCATGGGAAATGACCATGCATTAGAAATTGCTGGAATTGGTACAATCAAAATAAAGATGTATGATGGTACCGTTCGCACAATTCAAGGTGTAAGACATGTGAAAGACTTGAAGAAGAATCTATTGTCTATAGGACAACTAGATGACCTCGGATGTAAGATCCATATTGAAGGAAGGATCTTGAAGGCAGTGAGGGGAAATTTGGTAGTCATGAAAGCTGAGAAAATCATGGCAAACTTATATGTGCTTATGGGAGATACTTTGCAAGAAGCTAACACAACGGTTGCATTGATAAGCCAAGAAGAAGCGGTACTAATGTGGCATCGTAGACTTGGGCATATTTCAGAACGAGGATTGCAAATTCTTGCGGAACGTAATCTCATACCCGGGCTCAAGAAGGTTGATTCACCTTTCTGCGAGCATTGTGTAACAAGCAAGCAACATAGGTTGAAGTTTGCTAGAATGATTACCAAAAGTAAACATATACTGTACTTGATCCATTCTGATGTGTGGGAATCACCAGAACTATCCCTCGGATGAGCAAAATACTTTGTATCATTTATTGATGATTACTCTAGTAGATTATGGGTGTATCCTATCAAGAAAAAGTCCGATGTGTTTGCCCAGTTCAAGGAATTCAAAGCACAAGTAGAACTTGAAACTGGAAAAAGAATTAAGTGCTTGAGAACAGATAACGGAGGAGAATATGTAGATGGAGATTTTCAAGAATTCTGCAAGAAAGAAGGTATTGTCAGACAATTTTCAGTACCACACACACCGCAACAAAATGGTGTAGTAGAGCGGATGAACATAACTCTTCTAGAAAGAACACTATCTATGTTTCAAACTGCGGGTGTAGCTAAATCTTTTTGGGCAGAAGCATTTAAAACTTCTTGTTACTTGATAAATAGGTCACCATCAACTGCAATTGAGCTGAAAACTCCAATGGAGATGTGGAATGGCAAAGCAGTTAATTATTCATCCTTACGTATATTTGGTTGTCCTGTGTACGTGATGTACAACTTCCAAGAAATTATAAAGTTGGATCCAAAATCCAGGAAATGCATATTCTTGGGTTATGCTGATAATGTAAAGTGGTATCGTTTGTGGGATCCTACTGCCCACAAAGTTATTGTTAGCAGAGATGTAGTTTTTTCAGAAAATGAACTTCAAAGTAAGCAGATAAATGACAGCGATAAGAAGGACAATTTTATAGTACAGATAGAGAAGAATCCTTCGGAAAATTCTTTTGATTCAGAAGAGGAGCAAGAAGAACATGAGCCAAATGATGTTGGTGATGGAGAACTCCGACGTACAACAAGAGAAAGTGTCAAACCATCTTGGCATTCACAATATGTGATGACAAGTCATGATGCGTATTGTTTCCTAAGTGAAGAAGGAGAACCTTCAATTTTTCAAGAGGCCGTGATTTGTTCAGATGCTTCTCTTTGGATGGCTGCTATGCAAGAAGAAATTTAAGCTCTTCATAGAAACAAGACATGGAATCTTGTGTAACTTCCTAAGGGTCGAAAAGTCATTGGTTGCAAATGGTTTTATAATATCAAGAAAGATGGCAATGATCAAGTGGAAAGATATCGTGCTAGATTAGTTGTTAAAGGATATGCTTATAAAGAAGGCATTGTTTTTAATGAGATTTTCTCCCTAGTTTTTAGACTAACAACGATCAGAATTGTCCTTGCAATGTGTGCTGCATTTGATTTACATCTAGAGCAATTGGATGTAAAGACTGCTTTCCTTCATGGAGAACTTGAAGAGGAAATATATATGCTCCAACCAGAAGGCTTTGAAAAACAAGAAAACTTGGTTTGTATGTTGAATAAATCTCTATACGGTCTAAAGCAGGCGCCAAGGTGTTGGTATATGAGATTTGATTCCTTCATCATTAGCCTCGGATACAACATACTAAGTTCAGACCATTGTACTTATTACAATAGGTTTACAGAAAATGATTTTATCATTTTATTGTTGTATGTGGATGACATGTTGGTGGTAGGCCCCAACAAAGCTCTAATCCAAGAACTGAAGGCACAATTGGCTAGGGAGTTTGATATGAAGGACTTGGGACCAACAAACAAGATTTTAGGGATGCAAATACACCGAGATAGAAAAGATAGGAAGATTTGGCTTTCACAGAAGAACTATTTATTGAAGATCTTGCGACGCTTCAACATGCAAGATTTCAAGCCAATTTCTACCCCACTTCCTATCAACTGTAAGTTATCCTTAAGTATGAGACCTAGCAGTGAAGCAAAAAGGATGGAAATGTCTCATGTACCTTATGCATCAGCAGTAGGAAGCCTTATGTATGCCATGATTTGTACAAGACCAGACATTGCTCAAGCAGTGGGAGTGGTTAGTAGATTCATGGGAAACTGTGGTGGAGAGCATTGGAATATTGTTAAAAGGATACTTAGGTATATCAAAGGAACCTCAAATGTTGCATTATGTTATAAAGGATCAGAATCAATTGTTAGAGGATATGTTGATTCAGATTTTGCAGGTGATATGGATAAGAGGAAATCTACTACTGACTATGTGTTTATAATTGCTGGAGGGGTCATAAGTTGGTTATCCAAGTTACAAGATGTTGTAGCTCTGTCTCATACAGAAGCTGAATACATGGCAGCAACCCTGGCATGTAAGGAAGCTATTTGGATTAAAAGGATAATGGAGGAACTTGGGCACAAGCAACAACAAATTGTTGTGTATTGTGATAGTCAAAGTGCATTGCACATTGCAAAAAATCCAGCCTTTCATTCCAGGACAAAGCACATAGGAATAAGATATCACTTTGTGAGGGAAGTAGTGGAATAAGGAAGTGTTGATATGCAAAAGATTCACACAGATGAAAACCTAGCAGATGTCATGACAAAGCCGGTTAATACTGACAAGTTTAGGAAGACTCGATCCTATTACGGCCTATTGGAAACATAAGCAACATGGATGGCAAATATGGTGTGAAGATTTGATTAGTTTGATCAAAATCTTGAAGTGGGAGATTGTGAAGGAGAGAAGTCTTACATCTAGTAAAACATTGTAAGGGACTTCCTCCTTTGGTTATAAAAGAGAGGTTAAGGTTCCCCTTTCCTCATCCCATTCTCTTCTCTTCCTTCTATTTTTCTCTTGCTTTTAAGCAATTGAGAAATTCTTTGAGTATAGAAGAGAGTATTGTAATTTCTCCTCTTAGTATAAAATTTCCACTTATTTGCCTAGTAGATATTTTCTCATCTTTTGTTTCTGTTGTGAGTGCTTGTGTTACATGTCTGATTCCCAACATTTTGCACACTCACAGTTTCTACTACACAGTGTCTTTCACCTCTCGGTGATGTTTCTCTCTTCACGGTATTACCCGTGTCTTTCTCTCTTTCTCTTCTTGAATTTTTTCTTCACCGTTTGATTCTTGGTGAGTTTTGTTTTGCTTCACATTTTGCATTCATTTTATAATGAATGAAGGAAGAAAGGACAAGAAACATTGTTGGTGCATTGGAGCAATTTATGGAGCAATTAAGAAAGGACAAAAAACATTGACCCTTCTTTTCAGCATGTGGATGGATCCCATTTTTCTTTTTATTCCAACACATGTTTATCTAGTGCAAGACTGTTACACATCTTTGTACTCTTCTTTTGTCAGATATGATGAAAGTTGCATATTCTTACAAAACATATTTAAGCAGCTCTAACTCTTTTTTATTACCGATTTAAATAGGCTGAAATATTATCCACATAATCCTATTGCTAAATTAGCAAAATAAATGTTACCTGACCAATTTATTGCAATGCAGATGAATTGGGTGCTAACTTCAGGCATTGGTTCATTTTCCATACCACTCCTTTCTTTTTAAAATCAAGACCATATACTTGCCAGACATACGTGTAGCTTAATTGTATCATTTTATCTGCATATCTGATAAACAAAATATAACTATTTAAAATGTGTAAGCAAATAATGTCATCCATAAGGATAGATGAAAATTGCAATAGTTACGGTAAAAAATGAAAGAGCAAATAAAACAGGATTATATTTATTAAGTACGTGAGTGCCTCGTGACAGGATTTCATCATCGATCACAGTTTAACCAAAACCTTCTTAACAAAATAATATTTCACTTAGCAACATCATAATAATCCAAAGACATTGTAATTGTGTCTGGAAAAAAAGACATGAATTTTACCTGGTTGTAGATATAAACTTGGAGAATACATAGGACATTCCTTTATTGTTTGTTCAACATCTTCTTTCAACTTAAATCCGTGGTGAATCTCTTCGAAGTTTGGCAAATTTATGAGTTGTGTACTTTTCAAGTTCTGTAATAGTACTTGTTTTCCATCCTTATCCATTTCTTAAACCACGATCATCAAGTTCATGTTCAAAACCAAAAGCTTTATGTAACTTAGAGCACTCTATTATTATCAAATATCTCAGACTAGTAAAATGACTAGCCGAGAGATTATAAAATATACATTTCAACTTATTGCACTTTTTAACTTTAATAGTTGAGATCCTTGGAAAGCAGACTTGTTGGGAAGAATATAGACTCTTGAGTTGATGTGCATTACCTGAATCAAATATTTGTTCCAATTCATCACAATTAATTATACTTAGATATGTTAGTCGTGGTAAGCTTGTAACAACTGTGGTGGAGAATATGGTTTTCAATTTTGGACATCCATCCACACGAATATCATAAAGCTTTTGGAGGTTTAGAAAACCTATGGGACCCTTCCATATGAAGTTCAGCTCAGGTAGATTCTCCAATCTTAGATAATTTATATCCAAGTTTAGGAGAATGAGTTCTGTAGTTCCCCTTTGTTCTCCCATTTGGAATTGGAAGATACCTTTCATTCTAACAGCTCTCAACCAAAGCTCTCTACATTTGAGGAAAGCTTTGAGTTGAGGTTGAAATATGTTGGTAATCAGGCATAGTATTTCAGTCTTCTGCATACATAACATAATTCATTGTTAATATAATACAGTTTTATAAATCAAACTCAACTGAATTTAATAAAGGACCTAGTTAAATATATGTTTGTTTCTTTGTTAAAATATATATTAATCATTCTTTAAAATTTTGATTTATGATTTAATTTAGTTTTCAACTGTAAAAATGTTTGAAACGAAAGAAGAAGAGTTGAGAGGAATGAGAGAAGTGAGTAAGAGTTTGGGTTTTTTTTAGTTTTGATAATAAAAATTATTAAAATACCCTTAACCTTAAAACTTTTAGAATCCATGATATATAAGACTATTTTTGTCTATTAAAATCCGGTACACATAACTAAAATGTACCAACTGAACAATAAACATACATGAGTTAGCAAATCATAAATATATATATATATATATA